CGAAGACACGCGAAGACACGCGAAGACACGCGAAGACACGCGAAGACACGAAGAGGCTTCAGGTCTTCAAAGCTTCAGGTCATCACTAGGCGTCAGGTCTTCAAGGCTTCAGGTCGTATAGGCTTCAGGTCTTCAAGGCTTCAGGTCGTCACTAGGCTTCAGGTCTTCAAGGCTTCAGATCGTCACTAGGTTTCAGGTCTTCAAGGCTTCAGGTCGTCACTATAGGCTTCAGGTCTTCAAAGATTCAGGTCGTCACCAGGCTTCAGTTCTTCAAGGCTTCAGGTCGTCACCAGGCTTCAGGTCTTCAAGGCTTCAGGTCGTCACTAGGCTTCAGGTCGTCAGCAGGGTTTCAAGGCTTCAAGGCTTCATGTCTTCAGAGGAAAGTCACCCGGGATTGCCAGCACACTGACACGAATTGCTGGTGGGTTTTGCCGGTTCGCAGTTCGAGGCTGAACATTTGCATTTGTTAAAAGATATGAACAGATTACGGCTTTTGTATTTTCAACAAACATATGGAAAAAAGCTGCCCCCCCCAAGAAAAATACAGCCCGCGAAGAGAAAGAACAAACAAAAGCTAGTACATACAAAAAAAGTACAAAAATACAACCGCCAAAAAGTACTATGCACAAAGTTCTACAAGAAATGCAACCGCCCAAAAAAACAAACAATTATCCGGCAAGAGACCCCAAACAGTGTGTGTGAGGTCTATAAGCAGAAAGTCTAGAGATCTATATGCACGCATTGGGGTCCAGAGAGGTGATGGTGGTGGTGATAAAGGTAGAGTGAGTGTGAGTGTGAGTGAATGTGAATGTGAGTGAGTGTGAATGTGAGTGTGAGTGACGAGTGAGTGTGAGGGTGTGTGAGTGAGTGAGAGTGAGGGTATGTGAGGGTGAAAGTATTCCATTTCATTACACGTGTTCTCATCTCATTGCTCATCTCTCGACGCTGCAAGGCATGTAGCTAGGTAGTACGGGCTAGTCACTAGTCACACCTCGCACAGGCACCCGAGGTCAGCAGGCTCAGGTGGACATCGAGGAAGATGGTCATCAACAAAGGTGGCTGTTGTTTCCCTGGCAAGTTCCTTTGTGCATGGCTTTGGGCCCCCACGGTTTCTTGATAGTCGCCGTGGATTCATTTCGTGACACATTACGATTGAATGTTCTTTGGGAATCAATAAATCGTGCAACGTCCTTTGGGTTTCTTCGATTTGATGGTTTTTGCTACCTTGTGGGCTGGCCCCGCAACATCCAAAGACACGACCCGAAGAACGGGACATCAGTTGGCAGGAGATGAACGAGAGTGCCAAGTTCGTTTGCAACAAACAATGTCTTGCAGCAGTGTCATCGGTTATGCATGCAAACCTCCTGCTGTTTAAGACGGTGATTGCTGGAGACGGATGGGGCGAAATTGCCGTTCCAGTCATCCATGAGCACCCAGGCACTGCCTTTATTTTTGTGGGTTCTTTGCTGACGCTCGTATTTGGAGTGCTGAACTTGATCGTTCCTTGGTTAGGTCGCACGCAAAAGCGGACACGCGAGACCTAGGTGTTTTTCTTCAAGTTTTACCCTCTTCCATCTGGAGATGCACGTGTTTTACACCCCCGGAGGGGTCCATGAAAACATCTGTGTTTGGGCCTTGCAAGTGGTTTGCACTGCCTAGGTTGCTGTCGTGGTTGACACATTTGCGGATGCTCGATTAAATGACGTGCAAAATTTGGCAGAAGAAATGGAAGATGAAATTGAACATGACCGAAAGGCCTTGGCCAAACTTTTTGCCAAAATCGACAAAGATGGTAGTGGTCAGCTCACTTTGTCGGAGATGATCGAAGGGGCTCGCCACGACCCAACGTTTCAATCCCGCTTACGTGTCATGGACATAGATGAACACGATCTGGAACAGCTCTTTCAGATGATCGACCATGACCAATCCGGCACCATCGAAGTGGCCGAATTCATCGGCCCATTGAGCAGATGGGCTCACGATTCGAAGACGGCACCGCGCTTCATCAAGTACAACATGATCCAAACCATGCATTTACAAGAGGATTTGTACGAACTCTCCTCCGAGTGCTTCAACCAGTTGGCCGCGCGCATCGATGATTTGGCACTGCAAATGCAAGAGCTCAAGGCTCCGTGGAGCACAGAAACTGAGTTGCAAACGGATCGTAGTGGGTGTGCCATTTTGAGAGGGAAACACCCAGCCACAATGGGTTGTTTTGGTCTAGCGTGGGGATATGTGGGAGCTCGGAGGTGACTCGTGCCGGTGTTCCAGCGCGTTGTATCGTCCGAACGTTCAACGGTCGCCCCTGTTGCACGTCGTTGAGCTGGATTTGACGTCTAGTCGTTCTGCTTCCTGACCTGGTCGCGTGAGACTCGAGCGGTGGTCATCTCATGAATTCGACGCCTGGCTCCATCTGACTCCTCCTTTGGCACCGGTTTTGCACGGACCTTCTCACCCCCAGCCGGCCCCCCACCGCCCAGGAGACTCGAAGGTCCTTGCGTCGCTCCGTGAAGGGTGAAGAGACCGAGAAGGCTGGGCCAACGGAAGGTCTCGAGGAGGTCTTCTCCGACTTGGGAGCCGACTCCGGATCGGAGGTGGATGACCAAGTGCACCCGCCCGCCAAGCATGGCTTGGACCAACCCTTGCCTTCCAAATCGGACATCCACTTCTTGTCGCCCAAGTCGGCCGAACGCGAAGCGCGGGAGACGTCGAGCTTGGTGGAGTTCATATTGGAAACTGCTGTTTTCAAGCTGGAGACCAAGTTAGATGCCGGGTCGTTGGTTTCAGGGTATTTATTTTTTCATGGCAACTATTTGGGGATGGATTTTTCACGCACTGAGCTCCTTCCAAATCCGCTGCAGCCTTTTCTCAGGATGCGCTTTTGGACCATTGCCGCCTCCGAGCTAAGCCTTTGTCAGTGTCCCCCGAACACTCCAGCGCGGACAAGAACAGTGAAGACTGGCCGGGCACCGTCGACCGGAAGCCCAAGCGACGAGCGCGCGGTTTGCATCCAGAAGCCTTCAGGCTGGAAACCAACGGGTGGGGACCGACTGGGAAACCAAAAGTTCCGGTTGGCTGGCTCCAGTCTGCTGAATTTGGGGCTGGTTTCATGCTGGTTTCATGCGGAATTGATGCAAGAGGCAGCGCCCGAGTTAGTGAATCTAACGGTTCAATCCCAAAGTCCCTTTCAAGCCTTGAGATTGCGCTCGGTTTTTTGGCGCCAGATGTCTCAAAGCTTCAGGCATATGTACATGGAGCGGAATGGCAAACGCCACGCCACGGATGAAGTGTCCGCCTCACGATCAATATCGGAAAAGAGGCTTTCAACCAGGAGCGGCGTGCCGTTGCCGACGCGCAGACGAAGTTTGTCATCTGAGGGCCTTCCGACGAACCCTTTGGTTTCACCGGATCTTTGCCCGTATCCCATGGAACAATAACTGCAAAGATCTGGGCATTCCAAGGAGTGCCACCCAGAACGTTTGGCATTTTCAATAGTGGTGCTAGATCTCCAAGAGATTCTAGGACAAGTTGAAGCAGCACCCCGAAGATTTGCATGCATCGGGAAACAAAGGTCCGCCCAGCACCGATAATGATATTTCAGTTTTCTCTTTAGCTGGTCGTGTGACCAAATCTTGTTCGTGTAGCCACACTGAGTTGTCGTGCTCACTTTCGTTCTTGTTGAGACGGCGAACGGCGCGGCGTCGCGTTCGAGCGACTTCACTTGCAGAACTGCAGCGCTGACTGCGGGAACACCCGAAAGGCGGCCTCATGGTGCGGTCCCTCGTGCGACTGGCTTCGGCCCGGGGCCGTGGAAACGGACACGACGTGGTTTCGGCGAAACCTGAACGCGGTGGAAAGCTTCAGTGCATCCCACGGCGGAAGGCGATTGGCTGGCCCTTTTGGGGCGAGTCTGGACTCTTTGCAGGCGCGAAAGCTGGATGGTTGGAGAAGTGGCTGACGAACAGTGTGGAGGTGTCGCTTTCTTTTCCTTCTCGGTGTCGTGTATAATTAGGAGTTGAGGTTTAGATCCAATATTGATTTTAGATGTGATTTGCTGGATTGCAGTTGCTGCCTCTCGCTTGGCCCTTTTGATGTTCCTTTTTGGCTGTGAGAAACGGCTCAAGTGCAGCAGCCCATGGAGCCCTGAGTCATGGAGTCTATGAATATGGATGGCTCGAGGGGGCCTGTAGCATCACGTCAAGGCTCTTTGAGTGTGAACCGTGATGGCAGTGGTCGGAGGCAGGAGGATCATTCACGCACCGTTTTTCTACTCCCGCTAGGCCGGGGATGTAGATCAGGGGACGTTTTTGGGATCGACTTCGCTTGTGAAGGTCGATCAGTTCAGAGGTGGAGACACCTTATGGTAACTGGTCGGTTCTTCTGTGCGCCCGGCTCGGTTCCAGGAAGACGAAGAAGGTGGAAATCACCGGCAGTTTCCTCCGTCAATCCACCGAAATGATGACCAACACCTCCAAGGCGAAGCTGAAATCCGCCACCTGGTCCAATCTGCCACCTCAGCTTAAATCCCTTGAAGGGGATTGAATCCCAGGTTGATTTTGTCTATGTTCCCTGAGAGAATTCTGGGGAATTGTTGTTATTTTTTACTCTATTTCGGGGGTTACGGGTTCAGTTCTCTAAGCAGCGACTCCAAGGCCATGAACAGCGTCTACTTGGCGAACTTTATGGCGGTCGTCGTGCTGGTGGATGCCTATTGCACCGTCGTGGACATCGATGCCACCGCAGCGCGAGAGAAGTCGCCCGAGGTCTTCCGGTGGATCTCGGACCTCTGTTTAGCAGCTCGGCCCTGCCGTGTGCTGCGTGGCGTAGAAGTCACCGGTCCTGGCAGGTGAAGCGTGACCGTGAAGCGACAGGTGTACGAATGGTAATAGTAGTAACAAGAAGCTTGACAAAAAGTCATTAAATTTAATTCTAATAGCTTTTTGTTACTACTAGTAAGGCACTTCTTACTACTAGCGTGGCACTTGTTACTAGTAGTAACAAGAAGCTAAGGCACGGCGGAGTTTGCTGCAATGGTCTCCTTACGACTATATAGATGGGGGTGAACCTCAGGTGAGGGTTGTTTACCCCTCGCTGCATGCTGCAAGGTATTCTACACAGTCGAAGTGTTCGCATGGCTTTTGATTTTTGGGCTCGAGATCTTAAGGCCGGGAGGGGGGTGCATTTTTGAGTCAGCTACCCTATGCTGCCGGAGGTCAGATCAAGGATTTGTTCACACATGTCTTGAAACATCATATTTCCAACAAAAGATGCCATGAGGCATCAGCCAAATGAGTCCTGAGAGTTGGTATACGGACAGAACTTGTCTTTGGAGTGCCTCCTTTTCGGAGTTGGACCAACGGAACAGAACCCTTCGTTCGGAGCTGCGCCCGCGACGAGTTTCCCACTTCAACCAGCTGCGACCGCAGCTGCGACCGCAGGGACTGGATGATGTTGCTGGACCTTTTCATTGTCTTATGCGGTTGGGGCGAGAAGGCCGAGACCGCCGTCTTCTCCTGACTCATGTTTTTGTATATGTGTTCCATGTCTTCGACACGAGTTCTTTTTTGTTGAATTTGGTTGAGCTTTCGTTTTTGCGCTTCATTCTTATGATCACATGTGGTTTTCTTTGAGAAAGCACCTGTTTAATGCATAGCCCGTCGCATCAAATAAACCGAACCCGCCAGGTGATTGAGACCCTGGCCGACGGCGGTTTGGGCTTCCGGATTGCCGTGCTGCGCGCCTTGCGGTTGGTGCGGATTTTTCGGCTCATGCGCCTGTTGCCACTCGGAACGCCCAGCGATCGTTGCGATGCGGGGATAAGTAGGGGCATAAACCTTAACATTCTGAACTTAACCGAGATATATATATATATACCAGAACCTTCCCAGTGACCACTTCAGGATTGGTATACTTGACCTTTTCAAGACCTAAGTGACCTCATGCTGGGATCTCAAGTTATGTCACTGGGAAGGTCCTGGTAGTGGATCATATCATATCCTCATTCCTCAAGTCTGCCACAAGCCAGACTCACTCTTTGTGCGTGTCCTATCCTACTCGTAGATGCTGGAAACCAACATTTCGGTAGGCAAGTCTTTCCTGTCAGCTTCACCTGGACCGAATGATTTTGATATTTGGGCTTCATGTGATCGACGGTGTCGACGGTGCCACGTGTTTCCTCAGACCGTCCCCACAAAACGCAACGGACCGGTGACGCGATTTCGCGTCATTCGCGTCGTCCGACGGTCCGTTGCGCTACCGAACGGTCGGATGGCATTGCAGCTTGAAAAAATGCTGCTGATCTATCCCAGTGTAAGTGATCTATCCCATACACTCCATGGGACTGCCATACATGCCATTGACCTCCTTTCAACCACTCCTGGCCGTTTTGAAGGCAGTCCCGCAGTCCCAGACGGGCCCGTGCCCGGTGTGAGAGTGAAAGGTGGGTCGTGTGTTTGAGCGCACAGTGCACTGACATGTTTGCCTACACTTGGCTCCTAATTTGGCAACTTGATTATTATTGTTATATAGCTATAGGCTATATATATATATAGCTATATATATAGCTATATATATATATGCGCCTATGTCAGTCACGTTCCATGAAGGGCGGGGTTTTATTGCGGGCTCTCCACTGCACATCCCGTTCTCCCGGTCGAAATCAGGAAGAGGATCCGACCCCTTAGAGAGTTGCACAAGCTGGTGATGATGATGGCGACCTGTCTTCGTACCTTGCTCTGGTCCTTTATGCTTTGTTTCGTCGTGATGACCGTGTGGGCGATGCTCATGGTGGAGGTCGTTCATCCGGTCCTAGAGGACCCGACAAACGACGACAAACGGGCCAAGCAGCTAAGCGGGTTGATCAGTGAGAGCGGACATCTTCGCGTTCCTTTTTCGTTCTTCACGTTGCATGTTTGAGTTCCACAGCCACATCCCTTCTTGCGAAGTCGCCGCATTTTTGTCGCCATCTTGAACGACGGTTGTGTCACACACACAACATTCACAAAGTCTTTGTGAGTCTTTGTGCAACTTGCCTTGGACGACGGTAACATTAGGCAACGTTCAATCCAGTAGCCTTGGTATTTGCACAAGACCCACATGTACGACCCATGAATGGCCGTATTTTATTGGCAATGCATGTGTTCATATTTGTTCAGTATCTTTGTGACACATAATTCACATCATCACTTGCAAGTGCACTGCCGAAAGGTGTCAACCAAGAGTTTAAGAGTTGGCTTACACAAACTATATAGACCAGACAATATACAATTTCGTTGGGGACCCCGACCCACCCAAGACCTCTCAGGAGTTGTTTTGTTTGTGTTGTTTTGTTCCTTGGATGCCACCCTTCCCAACGTCCATCCCTCAAAAATGGCAGCTCTTTGCAACAAAAGGACGCCTTTTTGTCCCAAAGCAACATGCAAGAGTAGTGCAAAAAGTTGACACCCAGAGCATTTGCGGTGAATGCATTTACCTTGTTTGAGGGTAGACTAACATGGACCCTGAAAACCACTGGTTGGTAGAGGAAAACCATCTTCCAGGGGGTCAGACAGTCAGGGTCTATGTGAGTTTTCGGGAGTGTTAAGAACTGTTTATGCGATGTTTGCATGTTTTGCTTTCAAGCGGCTTGCTGCTCCAAATCCTGTGGCACTGTACAAAGGATTGTTTCCAAACACTCGTGTGAAAGCTATAGGTTCTTTAAAAAAAACAACAACCGCTTTCCTTCCTGAACCTTGATTTCTTCCATTTTCTTCCTCCAGTATTATTTTGGCTTGTGGCTTTCAGTTTTCCCATGTTAAACTGATTTGTTTCGGGCTCTGCTCGTGTTGGCGATGGCGCCAAACACCGTCCCAGAACCCCTTGCCACCCAACAATCTTGAAATAATTGCTCCGTTGTTTCATTTCTTCTAGCTTTACTTGATTATCATGATGTTCCACTATTTGCTTCGCACTACTACTGGGCTGCATTTCTTCCTGTCATTTCGCAACTTCCTTTGTCAAATTGAGTTGCTCGATCTTCTCTGTTTCCTTCTATGTGTCTCTGCTTGTTGACTTCTTTACACCCCATTATCATCCATTTGTTGTTCTGCATCATTTGTTGTGTTGTTCACGAGCTGTTCCTATTCTCAACAGGCTTCTCTTTAGGACAGGCAGATGTTCAGGATGTTCATGTCTTGCTTGGCTCTTTCTATAGATTTTCCTTCTGAGACGCAAGCATGCCACGGAAATACCATGGGCCAGACCGGAGACAAAGGGGTTGATTGGCTTCTACCATTGCAGTTCAGTAGTGTCATAGCACATGTTTCTTTGGTTTCAGCAACTGTTTTGCTTAAACCTTGGATTTCTCAGACAAGAAGTTCCAAAGTTGTGATCCTTACGGAAGAACGGCCTTGCGCACAATGAAGATTAGGATCAGGATCTTCCTAGATGGAGGACACCGTGCTCATATTCTTGCATTTATACGAGTCTCATGACGCGTGAGAATGGTAAAAAGGCTAGTAGATGATAGCGAAGCTTCTGGATGATAAGGTGGGGATGCATTGTTATCAATTCGGCATTCTTTCAAAGATGATCACCATTTCAGAAAGGAGAGAGGAGGGTTTTGGATAAGGCATCATGCTTGTATGTGTTGACAGGTAGGTTCCATAAAGGAGGACGTTCTTCTCTGAATGTGAAGGCACTTAGGATACACATGTACTGTACACCTTTTTAATATCGACTGGTTAGACAGAAACACAAAGAAACTCCTGTAAGGAAGGGAAAGATGGATATGCTTCAAAAGACTAGTCATCAAACTTGTCGTTTGGGCTGGAGTTAGGGTATTTGGATAAGTGTAAGGACCATTGTAAGACCTTCCAAACACAGCCACAGATGATCAAACACAAAAGCACTGCCACAGCCTCCCGAACTCCACGCCCAAATTCTGCGCGTGGCTTTCCGGAGCGTGTCGAAATCCTGGATAGCAAGTGATTCTGTCTTCACAGCATTTGCAAATGATCAAGGCTTTGCCATAACCCATGGGCCCTTGCCATCCCAAAGAATGGCACCAAAAAACGTCCCATGGATTTCTGGTCCCTTCACGACATACATTGCTGCAGGACATGATCAATGCTGATGAGTTGCTGGCGGAGAAGAAGTTTGCATCTTGCGATGGAACATGTCAGAGGGCCATGTCATCGGTGATGGACGCCAATTTGTTGCTCTTCAAGACGGTGATTGCTGGCGACAGTTGGGGTGAGATCCCTGACGAGAGGTGAGACAGCCACGGTTTTGCGGTGTTGCGGTTTTGATGTTCCCTTTTTACTGGGTCAATCCCCCAAGCTGGGGGGAATATACATGTATTATATGTGTTCCAGGTTCCAAAACCAGCAACTCCGAGGATTGCAGTTCCTGTGTTTCAAGAGCATCCAGCCACTGCCGTGATTTTTGTGGGATCTTTGCTGACGCTGGTGTTCGGAGTGCTCAACTTGATTGTTCCTTGGCCGCCTTGGCCCCAAAAAAGTGTTTGAATCGTCTAGCCACTTCGAGGAGTTTAGCCGTGTGTCTGGGATCTTCCCAAAGACGACCGAAGAAGATGCAAGTGTTTGACTAAACACCTGCGTCTCCAGGTCCAGGTGTTTTCATCATTTTCATCAGCGTAGTCTCACACCTTTGGGTTTTGATGTCCATCCCTAAGTCACCCACCAGACTGCATGTTTGTGGGGGTTCCCCTTATGGCACTCTTTTTGGTGGGCCGTTTTGGTGGGCACTCTTTTGGGCAGTTTGTCGCGCGACACCCTTCGTTTGACATAGCTTCTGGTGACATTGCACGTCTAGGCACTCTGGTGGAACATTTGTGTAACACCACGATAATTTGCATTGAGTGTGCAGGGGTGTTGGGCTGCTGCCCTGGTTGGTTGGCCGGGCGTGGCTTGTTTTCCTTTGGCACCCTGTGCCTGTGTCCCCCCAAACACCTGGCTGCCTAGCATAGTGCTAGTGCTTCCAAATGCGACCCGGGAGCTAGAGCAATTCGACCCTCTTGCTTGACACCCTTGTGCCACACTCAAAAGGTGTGCTCATATAGCCGGGGGGCGGGAGGACTCTTGGTGCAAAACTTCCTCCAATGAGCATTCACAAAAGGAGGGAGAGGAAGAGGACGGGGGTGGTGTTTTGTGCGACGGCAACCGATGTATTTCTAGACGATTGCATTCATTGGTGCTTTTCCAACCTGTGGCCGGTGTTTTGTTGCGTTGGTTGCCTGGTGTTTTTTTGTTTTTTGCGACGGTTGTTCTACGCAAAGTATGCAAAAGTAAAGCAGCAAAAGAAATTGTAACACAACATTCACTGTTTTTGTTTTTGGTTGCTGTTGGTGCCGGAGGGTTGTTGGTTGGACCTGGAGCGGGGTGCAGTAGCATCGCAGTAGTAGTATTATCATTACTGTACTATTCGTAGTGGTAGTAATAGTGGTCGTAGTCGTAGTCGTCGTCGTGGTAGTCGTAGTAGTAGTAGTAGTAGTAGTAGCAGTATTAGCGGTAGTAGTGGCAGTAGCAGTAGCACTTGGAGTAGTAGTAGTAGTAGTAGTAGTCGTAGTAGTCGTAGTAGCAGTAGCAGTAGCAGCAGCAGCAGCAGGAGCAGCAGCAGGAGTAGGAGCAGGAGCAGGAGCAGGAGCAGGAGCAGGAGCAGGAGCAGTAGCAGTAGCAGCAGCAGTAGTAGTAGTAGTAATAGTAGTAGTAGCAGCAGCAGCAGCAGCAGTAGTAGTGCGAGTGGTGGTAGTAGTGGTAGTGATGGTGGTGGGTAGTGGGTAGTGGGTAGTGGGTAGTGGTAGTAGTGGTGGTAGTAGCAGTAGTAGTCGTAGTGGTAGTGGTAGTGGTGGTTGTGGTGGCGGTGAAGGTAGTTGGAGCAGCAGGAGCAATAGATAGTACGAAGGTAGTAGCAATAGTCCTTGTTTGTATGGATTTTTCTCCTCGCGCTACTGATCGCTGTCCTATAGCCTGGAGGCAGCCGTCGCAATAAGCACAGCTCCCAGACACAGGAATCACCACCGATGCAGAAAACACTTGCTGCAGATGCAACAGCAACGTGCACCTCGCAAAAAACTCCGACGAGCCGATGCAGAAAACACAGGCGAAACTACAGATGCAAAAAACTTAGTTTACTTCGAGTGATCCCCAGCATGACATTTCAACCATGTCGTTTTCATGCAATGGCGAGGAGCATGTTGCCATGGTCGTGAGATTTGTGGTTTTTGACTTTGTTTGTGGGTCTTCAGCTTCGGGATTGTTATTTCATGTTAGGGAGTTCGCATCGGGGTGTCGCCCACCCAGAAGTGCTACCCTGTGACCACCTGCCGCGCAAAACGCCACACACACGGGTATTTAATGGTAGTTATATTGTTGTAGTTGTGTGTTTGTGGTTGTCTTTGAGTGTTGTGGTTTATGTGTTTGTGGCTGTGTATTTGTGATTGTGTGTTTGTGATTGTGTGTTTGTGGTTGGCGTGCTCTTCTTGCTCTACGCCCACTCCGTGCGCGCGGGCTTCTTTGGTGAAAGTGCGAAGCGAGCAAGTAAGAGAATGTCTGGGACCATTGCTGTGGTTCAGCACTTGCAGATGCGACGCCATCCGTGACTGATGGAAGCAGAACGTCGCAGGAATGAACTTGAGCTTTTTGACGGAATCCAAAAGCTGCTTGAAAAATTTTCAGATCCGAGTGAGCATGAACCACGTGCCAATGCCAAGCCCACTTTGTTGGAAGCTTGAGTGTCCAAGCTGCGAAGGATCTGCGCAATCTTCTGTCTGACCTGAAGAAAATGTGCGAAGATTAGATGCCGGTCACATTCATGTTGACGATGACGATCCTGCTCGTATTTCCCTACTTGCCATGCATAAACAGTATCGTTCTGAGACTCAATGGAAACCATTGAAGCAGGTGCTTTAAACATAGGTCCAGCAGCGGCCGACTTGGGCTCACATTGTTGCCAAGCCTGCGCCCAATGGGAATCCTCAACAATGTCCGTTTGCGATCATCGCCTGCTCAACCTAACTTGGCTGGATCTGTTGCAGCTGCGCGCGAAGCACTTGAAGAGGGTCGTAGTCCTTCTGGCAAGTTGATTGCAGCTAGCCATGCCCAGTGCCCTTGAACTTCGCGCGTTAGTTCAATCGCATGAGCTGGAAGACTCCGTTAGACTAGTGGTTGCTTTGTTGTATGGTGATGCTCCCTCCGTCGCTTCTCATTGGGTTGCGGGACCCGAAGTGAGGCAAGTTCTCATGCTTGCTTTGGGCAAGGTGCTGCGTGAATTGCCCGAGTGTAAGGTTACCAAAGTTGCACCGTTCTCAAGGGTGACAGTGCCATTTTGTTTCATGTAAATGATTGGATGCAGTGCCAGAACAAGCCCGCCGACTACTTGCCTGGTGTGTTACGTGGCCATGAGTTGCAAGGAGGACTCGTGCGCAGCTATGGGTGGCGTGCAATCGATCGCAACACCTCATGGCAGCGCGAAATGCCGGAAGCCATCATTGGTTTTGTTAAACAGCGCTGAAGTCCAAACCGATTCCATTACTTTGCCAGGCAGACGCACTTGACAGTGCAAACAATGTCTTTGAGAAAACAATGCATGAGCTGAGAAACTCCTGGAGATTGCGTCACATAGGAAAGAATCGAATACCCGGCGGGATTCTCACTTCGTGACTCAGATCTGGTGATCTCTGAGGAGATCATGAACCGGGTCAGGAAAATTCTCCGTGATGCTGCCAGGTCAGTCCCACAGACTTGTGGGCACTGCGGCAAAGCTTCCGTGCCGCGCCTACATCACATCCTGTGGGAATGTGAAACCTTCTCACATCTCAGAAAACACACGCAGCATCCGGATTCCGTCTTTCTAGCACGTTTGGGCTGGGATGGTCAAACAATCGCTTCGCGTGACATTTTGCTCCAGATGTCAAACATCCGGGCTCATGACGCAGCTTTGCGAGACAAACGCCACCGTGACCCAGGGGCTGACGGCGGGGGGCCGCTGCCTCCAGGACTAAAGCTTGGCGCTTGGCGGCCACCACGGCGTGTCACCGTGCGGCCCATGCCGCCACTACTACTACGAGCAAAGTGACATGAACGCCGATTCTTGTGCCACGGAGAAATCTGGTGCCAAACGAAACGACGCATCCCCAACGACACGCATGTCTCCCGAGAAAAATGAAGCCTCGTGTCAACGTTGTAAAGATCAGCCTCCTTGTTTCAGGGGTACGAACTTGCTGGTTTAGTATAGGGACACTTGGTGGTTGGCTTGTGGTTAGGGAACATATGAGGTTCTTATGGCGTTTAGAAAACTTATATAGACTTATAAACGAACTTAGAGAAGTTACAAAAGGAAGTGTTTTTCTACTTGCTCATAACTTTGCTACGTTTAACTTATAACTGCTTTAAGTTTTGTAAGTTCTTAAGACCTCGCCAAACACTACATTTTGCAAAGTTTTTTCGATACATGAAAAATATCTTGTTTGCACTCCACAACAAAACTACTCATCACAGAAAAGTACTGTGTGTTTCTTGATGTCAAAAGGATGTGTCGCCTGGCCAGCAAATTTGAACGCTTGGCAAATCTTGGCAACATGTTTTCAAGTATGTTCATGTGAGGTTTCCAGTTCAATTCAGACCCATCTGAACTTGAACGTTTCATTTTTCAAGCAATATCAAAACAATAACGGAATTCTCGGAACCCAAACCTTGCCAACCAAGCGGATCATTACAGCTAAACTGCACGCACCGAAGTCAGGAAAAATGAAAATACATTTACAACGATAACTGTATAAACATGTAGAAAATGTCAAATGTAGAAAATGTAGAAAAGTGTAGGAACATGTAGAAACATGTAGAAAAGGTAGAAAAGGGCAAGAAAATGTAGGTGATGGAGCCCACACAGGCCTACAGTGACCCTCAAGTATCATCCAACTAGCGGCTCAAAGAGCCGCCATCAACTTTGGATGAAAATACATGTAATTTCCTGTACGTTTCATCAAACTGGCTAGCAGCTCAAAGAGCCGCCGCCGATATAGATAAACATCTATTGGTATAGACAACGCCATCGGTATAGACAACATCGGCATACGGTCCTTTTAACACATCTTTTTTCTTGGAACTTCGGGTCAAAGCTCTTGCTGTCAAGAGAACCCTTGGTCTGCAGAAAAGCATCTGCTGGAGGTGAACGAGGTGGTGCAAAATCGGTGAAATCTTCTCCGCAGGATCTTCTGCCAAAAAGAACGCCGCAAAACGAAATCGTACGTGTTTGTGTGTTTGTGCTTGTGTTTGTGGTTGTGTGTTTGTGTTGGCCTGCTTGTGATTGTGTTTGTGGTTGTGCTTTGTGTTTGTGTAGTGTGGTTGTGTTTTGTTGGTTGTGTATTGTGTCTTGCGAGTTTGTGGTTACAGTATGTTGTGTGTTGAGGTCCGGTAGTGCCCACTGCGATCTTGCACACTGTGATCAGGAGCTGGCAGTTGAGGTCCGGTGCACATCCCCTCTTCGATCATGAGGATGGGAGGAAGGGCGCTGATAAAATCTAAGCACTCTCACCGGGCAGGTGGGGAACAACTATAGTACCCTGCGCCGTCGCACAAAACACGGGGTACGGACGCCAAAAAACACGAAGCCCGACTTGATGTTGAGGTGTTCATGTCATATGAAGAGGACCTGCAAACCAAATGGGCGGATTTTACCATAAATGACCAAACAAGACCCCAAATTATCAACCAACTATAACTCAATGTTTGGACAATTGCACTGATGTTTTTCGAGGTTGCTGTTGTGGTAGACACCTTTGCGGACGCCCGCTTGAATGATGTGGAAAATTTGGCGCAAGAGATGGAAGATGAAATTGAGCACGACCGAACAGCTTTGGCCAAACTTTTCGCCCGAATCGACAAGGATGGTAGCGGGCAGCTCACATTACAAGAGCTCATCGAAGGTGCCAGGGATGACTCGGGTTTCCAAAGCCGCTTGCGTGTGATGGACATCGACGAGCACGATCTGGAACAGTTATTTCAGATGATCGATGTCGATCAATCCGGCACCATCGAGGTGGCCGAATTCATCGGCCCACTGAGCAGATGGGCTCACGATTCGAAGACGGCACCGCGCTTCATCAAGTACAACATGATCCAAACCATGCATTTACAAGAGGATTTGTACGAACTCTCGGTGGACTGTTTCAACCAGTTGGCGTCTCGAATCGATGACTTGTCCCTGCAAATTCGAGGGGTACGAGGCCAAACCGTTCCTTCGGGAGCATCTCGGATGCAACGACGGTGCTTGATGTTAGTTCATGAGTTGGAGTGGGGGTTGTTGGTTTGTTCAGCGTGGGGCTTGTTACCCCAAGCTGGGCCCCTTTCAGGACCCCTTATTTGCAGATCTGCTCAACAACACCTTGGAGCTCGAGGCGGAGCCTTCGGACCCGCCCACGGAACCACACACCTCGCCCATGGAGCCGCGAGAACCGGGCGACGCCAGTCCCTCGGAGGCTCCCGCGTCTTCGGAGTCGGAGAAGCCCGAGGCCGCCCAAGGCACCATCGAGTTGGATAGCTGCAACCCTTCACCCTCTCCCAGCCGTCAAGTGAGCCATGGCCTTCCCCATGAACGGCTGGATAGGATGGATAGGCAGATCAGTGGAGCCGCCCATCATCGGGGAGTTGACCAACCTCGAGCCTCCCCGCGTGACATGGAATTCTTAGCGCCCAAGTCCGTGGAGAGGGAAGCACGTGAGAGTTCAAATGCCATTGAAAAGATGTTGGAGTCTGCCATGGCCAAACTTGAAAGCAAGTTGGAGCAATTGTTAGTCGAAGCACGCAAGACTCCTATGGACCGACATGTGCTACCCAGTGAAGATTTGACAGCTTTTGCAGATGCAAAGTTGAGACAGCGACGAAAGAAAGGAAAGAAGATGCTGCACCCAGAAGCCTTCAGGCCCGTTTTCGCGGCGTCGCAATCGTTTCTACACATGACATGACGCTCAAGAGACTCAAAGCCATTCAACACATGCGGAAAAAAAGGTACACAGTACAGATCTAGACCACTCAGACCGATGTGACGGTATGAAATATTCTTTTGAGGCATGCACGACTGTCGACCCTGCAGGAGCATGTACATGAACCATGGCCGTCGGCTTTCTTTGGTGGAGCTTCCCAGTGCTCAACGACGACAATCCTCGCACGACGCCGTCGCGCGGCCGCGACGCAGAAGTTTGTCCGCAGATGGTCTTCAAGGTCCTCCAGACAATGCTGTTGGCCGCACCATCACCGCGACGGATCTTCTGAAAGAGGCCAAAACCCATGGCAATTTTCAGGACTCTCCGGAATCTCGAAGAGATTCTCGAAGAGATTCTCCTGTCAAACCCATTTGAGCCGTCACGTTCCGCGTCTGCGGAAGCAGCATGCGGGCCATGCATGCCGTGACGCGACGGCGCGACGCAGCCAATACGTGACGTGACCCCGGAGTTTGCTTCAAAAACTGTCAGATGGGTACAGCTGCTAGCTTCTCGTGCGTCGTATGTGTTTAAAGTTCTCACCGTCTTGGTGCAAAGAACTGCTCCAAAGCATTGCACCCTTCTGCTTAGGTAACTCAAGGCTCAAGCAGCTCAAAACCCAGAATCGTGTTCTCGAAACCTCTCACATCTAGTGACCTAGTGGACAGAGTCAGATAAAGCCAGACATGACGCGTAAGTTGGGGTGGTCACCAATCACCACCGGATATATATGATATATATATAAATATAATGGATGACCACCCTGCCAAGGTATATATCTATCTAAATAGAGCTATGATGCTGCCCAAGAACCTTGGCACCCCTGCACCAGGCCATTTCCCGGTGCCCCCGCCATGGCACGGCGCTCGGCCTCAGCGCAGTTGGTGCTCTCGGCGACGGCACCGGCGGAGACGGTCTCACGGCGGCAGTTCGTCTCAACGGTCGGAGCGGACTTCGTGAGGGCGAAGGAGTCCGACTTGGATGAGACGGCCCTGGGCTGTCTGAAGAAGAAGGCGAGAGCTTGGAGAGCTAAGAACCGAAGAAGGAATGATGTTTGGAAGGAAGTCCAAAGAACCAAGGACCATTCATCATATGGAGAACTTAAATTTCTTGGAGGACACCTTTTTTGAGAGAGATGTTACATTTTTTAGGTTTGATATTTTTTTTTAAAGGGACATTTTGAAGGAGCTCTGTGGAGGACATGTTTAAAGGAAGTTCTTCGAATTAATCTTTAGATGAAATCGTTGGAGGCACTGGAAAAACATGGGAACTCCAAAGAGGGAATTGGTTGAAGGGGCTGTTTACATTTTTAGAACGACAAATTTTCGTGAGTTGGGCTCGGATGCGGCGACTATGGGCAGGCATTTTTGGGCTGAGCCCCGTAAAAGTATATACAAAAGAATGAGAGAGATGTTGTCGGGTAAAGAACTCGATCAAAACAAAAAAGATGCAGGAGAGTCGCCATTCTGGCATCCACTTGTATTCATTGCAGGTTTGTTCCAAGATTCTTGATGTAGCGATGTAGCGTCTTGCTTTATGCTTTAGGGTTTAAGGGTTGAGAAGATGCGTTCGGAACAGAACAGATCCTTTGCAGACTTGCATTGTGGTGTGATCAGGAGTGACCTTGTGTTGGAAATCTGTGTGCATTTTGTGCATAAACGTCGTTTGTTCTAGGCCACCAAGCTTCTGAACAGCGTTTACCTTGCGAATTTCATTGTGGTGGTGGTGTTTCTGGACGCCTACTGCACTTGCAGAGATATCGATTCACGAGCCCATCAACAACCAACACCACAAGCTTTTCGCATACTTTCTGACTTATGTTTGGTGCTTTATACGGTCGAGCTTTTGCTTCACTTCTTTCTTCAGGGTTTCAGCATTTGTCGCGATTGGATGATCTTCTTGGATTTGGTCATCATCGTGTGTGGCTACATCGAGCTGTTCTTCAGCTTTTTGGGCGATGAGAGCGGTGTCATTGGCATCAGCATCGTGCGGGCACTTCGCTTGGTCCGGATCTTTCGCTTGATCCGCTTGCTGAGGAAGGTGCGCACGCTACGGGAGCTGCACAAGCTGGCCACCATGATGGCCACCTGTGCAACTGGGACCGATGTCTACCGAGCTCCGGGTGCGGGGTGTCGCGTCGTGCCGGTCACACAATCCGTGACAGTGACGTGCTGTGTTTGGGGTGGGGTGGGGGAAGAAAGCAACGCTTCACTTTAGGAGTGCTGTGTTTGGTGGAATGTAGATGGATAGAAACACACATCAATCCAAATGGTAAGGTCGATTTTTTCGCGTCTATAGTGACTCGTCGACCGAGTCGGCGACGGTCGATTCCGGACCGAGTCGGCGATGGGATTGCGCAAGGTTCAGATGGGTTCACCCGCGGAGATCCATATGTTTCAGTCTTTTTGTTTCTCTACTCGGCTCTCCGTAAAATATATCTCTCATGATATATATATACCTAGAACCCATTTGACATTTGTTTTGATAGGAAGTTTGTCCATCTTTTAGGTGGTTGGTGGTCCAAAATAGAGGTCACTCAGGTTCTAGGTATATATATATATATATTATCTCTCCACTGTGCTCTCCGGAAAGAACACTTGGTTCTTCACATATGTTTTTCGCAATTGCGTGCTTCTTCTTCTTCTTCTTCTTTCAAGGCCGGCATCTCTAGACACCCTTTTTCGGCCTTGTTTCCAAAAAGTGGTAGACCTTTCTTTCGTCAGTTTTTCCCGAAAGCGCGAATTGAGGCAAAGACTTTGGTGTGGTCTTTTCTGTTGTGCTTCCTGGTGATGACGGTGTGGAGCATGCTCATGGCCGCTTTGTTGTGAGTAGCGGCAGGGTTGGGGCCGTTGGGGTGCCTGAAGGATTCTGGGGGAGCTATTCACTGAAATGTCCCCAGCTTTTGCCACCCCACACCCTGAGACATGAGAGCAGCATAGAAAAACTTATGGGCTTTGCCCAGGTTTCATCTTCCTTCAGAGTCAGAAAGCGCACGGTGCACACATGAGGTTGAGATGATTCATCCTCTTTTGACAGATCTGGAGCTAAGCAGCTGCAGAGGGCAATGCGAGTCTGCCATGTCATCGGTGATGAATGCGAATCTCTTGCTGTTTAAGACAGTGATCGCAGGTGACAGTTGGGGTGAAATTGCGGTGCCTGTGATTGAACAGTACCCAGCAACTGCCGTCATTTTCATGGGATCGTTGTTGACACTGGTTTTCGGGGTGCTCAACCTCATTGCAACTTGGCTGACAGAATATCGGCCAAAATATCGCGATGTTTTTATAGGTTTCTCCTATCGCTTCTGTTGGTCATTTTCGCGATGACACCGTTTCGCCTGCGATTCGCATCGGCGACTAACACCAACATCAGCGACTAGACACCTCCCTGATTCATGTTAACGTGGTCCATGTTTAGGCAGGAGGATCGGAGAATCTTACCCAATCGTAGACCACATCTTCGGCCGATGGCCTCACATCCGGAGTTGCCAAATCTCATATATGCTCCATGTTCAGGAATATTGACCATTGACCTCTGAAACCACCTGCCACCACCCCAATGTATGTGACCCAGATGCTCAGTCCCAGTCGCACGTCGTGTCTGGGTGTCGTTTGCCGGGCCCAGGTGGCCGTGGTGGTCGACACCTTTGCGGAGTTCCGCCTAAACGACGTGCAGAACCTCGCGGAGGAGGGCGGAGGGTAGGGAGGTTAGTTCCAGGAAGAGACACACGAACCTGACGGCACGCGCCATTCCTGGAAGACGATGTTCCGAAGACCAACCCAGTGGTGTTCAATGTCCATGGAACAAATTGTCGCGAAGCGGTTTTTGCAAAGAATGAGTGCCCCTTCTCACCGGAGGACAGGGAACACTTTTTTCTCCGGCAACAAGTCAATACTTTTCTGGATAACATTTGTCGGTAAAGCTGAAACCATCATGTTCAAGACACATCGGTCAGCTGCCCACGCCGCTTGCCAATGAAATGTGTGCCGGAGTGCATTTTTTTGATGCAGCAGTTCGAGACAGCAGCTGCCTAACCTCTTACATGCATAGATTTGAAGCATGAGGCAACAATGTTAATTTTTCAGGGTATATCCATAGCGGGCACTTTTTCGGCATCTAGAGAGGTATTCCATTCCATTAATTATCTGGGGTGTTGCCCATGAATGGACTTGTCATTTCGGTTATTTTGCGTGGCTTATCATTGCGTATTGTCTATCATGCATAGCTGTCAGTTGATCGTTTCGTTTCGATTGTTATTGTAACTTGTCAATGCCACTGGAGTTGAGGGGTGGCACAATGGTTTGCGGTGTTGTTTGTCATTGTGGCTTCTGAGTGAGGCTGTTCGTTGTTTTTGTTTGGTTTGTTGTCGTTGTGGCTTCTCGCTGCTGCTGCTGCTGCTGCCGCCGCCATTGTTGCCGGCCATTCATGTTGTGATCGTGGCTTGCCATTGATTTGGCCAGCGCTCGTAGTTGGTGTTCTCATTGTAGCACCCACAGGAAGATCGAATGCCCGGTTTGCCATTTGGGCACTCTTTGATTGTACGTACTGAGTTGAACGAGAGTTCCTCGCCAAGTGTGGCCACCGTGAACCTTTTCTCATTCCAATGGTCATTCCTGGATGGGCCCTTGGCAAGGCTTGGCAAGCAGGCATGTGATGCGGGTCCAAACCCAAAGGAAAGGACTGGCTACCCTGGAGGCCATGGCTAGTAGGTTGGAGGCCATCGCTTTTAGCTGTCCAAAGAGTTCCAAACACCTGGGTCCACTTCAGCGGACGCACGCCGGGCTGGACATCGTCCACCAGTCAACCGGGCTGCCCCAGAGTCTTCTGGCGTAGCAAAGCTCGAAAGTTCTGCTCGAACACCAGGAGAGATGTGGCAAGATATCCCCTATCTGGCAAAAGTCTCTTTCCACCAAAACACCCACACCTCCACATCCTTCAGCAATATTATCCTCTCTAATTAAAGTTGCCATACCCACCACTCCCCTCCAGGTGAAATATTTCCTATATATATCTAATGTCTAACATCGCTTCCCCACCCACACCACCCCTACAGTAATATACAACAAAACACATATATAGATATTAAGACATATATTACAGATGATAACATATATAATCACTATATAATCAATTGTTATATTAAAACATGTTTACAAAAAGTAATATGTAAAACATCTGCACTCTAACTCACCAACATGGAAGTGGAAAATGGTCCCTTGGAAGACTATGTTCCTTTACGAACACAAGGTGTTCCACTTCCACGTTGGTGAGTCGGAGTGTATACATAAGTAGGATAAAGTCCGATCCCGCAAGTGGAATTCCGCAACTAGGCTTCCGAAAATAAAATTCTGCAACCGTCTGGAATTCCGCAACTGGGATTCCACAACGGTTGGAGCAGCAACCACAGGTGCCAAGCATCCAAGCAAAAGCAAGAACAGGGGTGGAGTGGTGGGTTGGACTCTTTTTTTTAGAACACCAGTTGCGACTCTCCAGCTTCAGAATACCAGTTGCAGAGCCCCAGTTGCAGAATCCGACTTCCCAGTTTCAGAATACCAGTTTGAGATCCAAGTTTCAGAACCCTCGTCTCAGAACTCCACTTTCAGAATTGGATGGATTAGTTTTCCGAATCCGGCTCCAACCTCTATAAGTACGATGACAAGAATTTAGACTATACAATGACTAAGATGTCACATGTTTCTCATATACCAGCTTGTCATATGTAATGATTAGGAATTAGGATATATATATATATACTGTATATATTTATAGATGCCAAGGATGTTGCACCGCACTATGTCACTCATGATGCCCCAGGAGATGGAGGACGAGATCGCCCAGGATCGGAAGTCCTTGGCGCGCTTGTTCGCTCGAATTGACCTCGACGGCTCGGGGCAGTTGACGCTGGATGAGCTGATTGAAGGCAGGCGCTGAGTGATCAGGGGCACTTCTGTGGGAGATGGTCATCAGTCATCATTGAGTGAACATCAGTGACCACTGAATGGTCATGAGTCTCTATTGAGTGATCATCAGTCATCATTGAGTGGTCATCGGTCACAATTGAGTGATCATCATTGAGTGATCAAGAGCCCTTTTTGAACGATCATTAGTCATCATTGGCTTGCGTGCCCAACAGGATTCAGGAGAAGTCCATCAGCACGGGCTTAGCCAATCTATTCAGTTAGGGTTTGGTTCGGCGCAGAGTCTTATGAGGTGATGTTCGGCGGTGTTAGTGTTGATGCAACAGACGGATGGCGCAGTTGCAAAGCGTAGGAGTCTCAGGCAAAGACGGATGTTGAATCATAAAGTGCAGGTTGGTTAGGCTAAACTTTTCTAAACTCCACCCGCTGGTTAACAGGAACCATGCAGCATGCATAGAGAAAGGGGACCAATGCCAACCCTGGACGAGTAAAAGTAATCAAAAGGATGTCGACAATGACCCGAGCTGCCCTTTATGCCATTCCCCACCAATTTGCTTAACAATCCTTAGACATTAATTATAGTCGAAGAGCCTTCCATTCCATGTTCATGAGAGATTGGGAAAAGGAAAGACGGGGAAAGATCCCAGAACTTGTCACATAGTTGTTTGTGTAACAAGAAGTTTGGCAGTAGGAAACCAATCCTGAACCGATTTTCCTGACAGATTCTTCCAAGTGCCACAAACAGCAAAAGGAAAACCGTGAATACTCTATGTATAATATGGTTCCGGGTCAGTGGTGGTAACAAGGCGGCGGAACGGCTACGGAGCCGAAGGGACTACGTTACGTTTTTTCTTTGTCACAGTAGCTTGCCGCAAGGTAGCAATGCCCGAACATGTTGGGTGTGTTCCAGTAAGCCTGTTATCATTCTTGAGAAGATCACTGAAAATAGCGACCTGTGGAAGCGCACAGGGACCCATGTACAACATTGAGCAGCCAGTTTGCATGCTGAGGGGGAGGTGCTGTGCCTAACCTTCCGCGCCACAAAATCACATTGTATACCCCAAATCCCTGCCTATCTGCACCAGCCCGCAGCATGCAAGCAACGACCGCAAGCTACGCACGCCTACTGCATAACAGTCTAGCAACTGTAAGCTGCCCGACAGCACATGCACCTAAATGTTATAAAGATGCCGCTGTAGACCCCAGAAAGCCAAACAAGATGTGGGCAGCGCGCTGCAGCGGCATCAGCCCTCCAGGCTCCAAAGTGCAGCGGCACACTGCAGCGTAGACATTCGGAAACAGCGGGACCCTGAAGCGATGCCTGATTGTTTGATTTCTGTTAGGTTTGTACTATAGAAACAAAACATGTTTACTCACAAATGCGCTTCTCCAGCTGGCAGATGCCCACAGCGCCAGCACTCAGCATCGAGCACCGACACGCTGTCGACACCAGCAGCACCACACCCTGTCGCGACGACGTGGGCCACCAGCCCACCGGCACCAGCACCGACACGGCTCGAAAGTGCACACAGCCTTTTGAAGACGAACATACCCAGACACTCCCACCATATCATATATGCCTACATTGACCCCTAAAACCACCCCAACTGATCGGCATTTTTTGGCAGTCCGATGGAGTGTTTGGGATAGCTATCGATATGTTGAACATGTTGGGGAAACACACGCAGGCGTTTTGAATAATTGCTTTTGGTCCCGTTCTAGGTTGCTCTCTGTGTGGCATGCCCCCGAACTCTCAACTCTTGGCTTTTGTTTTGATCGTCCAAAAGGTTCCTCTTATTTCCCTTTCACATGAACCCCTCATGCGAAGTGGCTGCTTTCATGTGCTTTCCAACTCCTCTCCTTGCCGCGCGGCTCGGCCGAGCGGCGCGGGGTTCCCGGCTCCAGGTGCCCAGCGAGACTCCGATTTCCAGAGCCGGTTGCGGGTCATGGACATCGACGAGAGCGAGACTTGGGCGATATTGGGCTGGGACATGACGGAGGGGAGGAGCACTGAGCCTCAGCCACCGGCGAAGGGGACAGCTTCTTCTTGGCTTTAGGCTGCCACGCCTGCAAACTGCAAACACGTATAGGCCTGGAAAGACATGCTGCAATAATGGAGCCTGTATTGGGCCCCCTTTCTGGAAGGTATATAGTTTCCACAGTCTGAGCTTGCGGAGGCAGATTTCCTGCAAGTTCAGTGCAGAAACTTTGAACTGGAGTCCATGTTGCGTTTATTGGCACAAGTACCATTCTTCAAATCTTTTGTGCACCTGGGGAAGCCCCCACATGGAAGCCGACACGTGGCACGTGGAGCTCGCTAGGGAATCGTAGTGAATCAAAAGCCCCAGTGGCCTAAAGTACCTCCAGTAACTGTTTCGGGCATCCGGGCAGCAAGAGGCTATCATCGAATCATCGCAGTTTCTTCGTTTGGATTGTGGCTGTGGCTGTCATTTGCAGTTTGCATTTTGCCTGTCGTTCTGTTTGGCATCTATCCTGACATGGCATTCTATCTGGCATGAATTCTGGCATCCATACTGGCATTTTGTTCTAGCATGTCTTCCGGCATTCTACCCGCTCTAGGGCATTCTCTCCGCGTATGCTGACATACTTCGTGGCACTCTAAGAGTTGGCCGTTCAAAATCGACTCTTTTCCATGGACGGGTTGCGTTCTTTCTTTTTAACGGATAGTTGGGAAAGAGTCCAGGACCCTAGACCAAGAGAAGGCTCTGTGTTGCACAAGCCAGACCTTTGCATTGCTCAACATAATACTTGGTGCTTAGCAGCGGAGAGCACGTAAGTGATCAAATGACCAGCCCCGAGAGCACCGGTGGCGCGCCTAGAATGGCGAAGAGCGGCTAATAATCAATCGGCTTACGTGGTCTGAGAAGCCACGTCGGCGGTTTGGTCGCTCCCAAGCATCCAAGAGCGACACCGAAGAAGTGGCACAGTCGCTCCCAAACATCAGCACAGTGGCGTTTGTTTCTGACGTTCCGGGTGCGGGCAAAGAGCAGCGTATTCACGTACCCACCATTTTGCAAAATAGGTGAAGAGCAGCAGAAAGTACTCAAATGCCCAGGCCCACACTGTATACTTACCGGATGCTAAAAGGGTCAAGAGCATCGGAAAGGACACCTTAAACGACCATGCCCCATTTTGATTACTTGACGTGCCCCGTGCCCGGGGAAGAGCGCAGGTGCTGTCATCACATGCCACAGGTGCTGAATAGTGGTCAGAGGACAAGAGGGCGGGAAGATCCAATCGGCCCCTCGTTCTGGGAAAGGTTCCAGGGACGAGCTCGCAGTTCTCAAGGGACAAGATCGCAGTTACAGAGTTGCGGCTGGTTCTGGACGGATAGGCGACCTCCAGAGAGCTTGCTGCGACATTGCCGGATTGAGCAAGTCCAACTGCCGTTCCAACTGCCGCATCCAATCTGGCATCTGACTTTTTTCATCACACCCCATTTGGCATCTAGTCCGCTAGTTTTTGGGGCATTCCACGTGGCATTCTCCTGATATTTCATATCCAGGTCCCTCTGCCCAGACCGAGTTGAGTTCCGGTGCCGGCGCTGGGGGTCGTGTTTGGGTCTGTGTATGCCCAGCTTCAGCTGGCACTCGTTGTGGCATCTGGACGGAAGGAGGAAGGCAAGGAGGATGAGGAACTGCACCATGTTGCATCACAAAATCTGGAGGCCCTCACCAGGCAGGTGGGGAATAACCCCTAACAGATGGGGTTCGGTTGGGAAACTGGGCTTCCACGTGAGGACTTGCAGATGCTGTTTGAGATGATCGATGCGGATTCATCTGGTACCATTGAAGCGGCCGAGTTTATAGGACCTTTGAGCAGGTGGGCCGGAGTCGATCACGACGACGATGCCAGTGCGGCGCTGTGGTCGACACCGGCAAAGACCACCCCAACACTCGAACGTACCCAATAACGTTGGGGTAAGTGGTGGGCGGGCCTGGTATGAAAGGCGTTTTGCTTGAAAAAGAGACAGATTGCCAGGTGGGCGCATGATTCCAAGACAGCCCCGCGCTTCATCAAATACAATATGCTGCAGACGATGCAAATCCAGGAGGTGCCCAGATTGGTGGACTTCTCGTCATGTTTTGCTATTTGTTTTGGCTTCATCACCTGTTTAAGTTTCCAGTTTCTAGTATTCTAGTATATAGTTTCTTGTTCCCAGATCCTGTGGTGAGGACTTGTATGACATGTGCGCAGACTGCTTCAAACATTTGGCGCTTCAGATTGACAAGGTTCAGGTTGAGGTGAAAGGGCTCACGAAACACATCGTACGAAAGAAGGGCAGCAAGAAGCCGGAAACCGAACACCTTGGCCTTGGCCAAACCAGTCCGCCGATGGACAGCCGTGTGAGCGCCAGAGAGCATCTCGAAAGTCCTCTCATCCCAAGGGACATCAGGGCATCCTTCAATGATGATGTTGAGCAAATATCTTCTTACACAGACGGGTCGAGGCAATTAAGTCATTGGGAAGCACCCAGAGGAAGTGTTTATGATGCCCGTGCCGAAGCAAGATTGAGTTCCTTGGAGCAATTGGGTGAACGAGTAGCCTTGGACGAGATGACGACGGAGATGGAGAATGTCAGCTTCCGTGTGCCTCCCATCCCCGAGACAGAGCTGCACGATGAGTTGGAGCACGTCATGTTGATGCGCCCGTCCAGACAAACCGAAATGTTGAGTGAGAAACTAAGCTCGAAATTGGGGGCACTAGCCCACTGAATAACCTTGACCTAAAATCCTCATCCAACAACCACCTTGAACATATTAATGGGTGTTTCTTGATTCTTCTCCCCCTTTGTATATTCGTTTGATGTGTATGTGTTGCGTTGTGTGCAAAACCCGAGGAAGAGCCGACAGTCCAGGGTCATGGACTCGCATCTGGATTTGCTTCTGGAGTCCGCCGTGGTGAAGCTCGAAACCTCCATGAAGAAGATGGAGCGCCTCGCGCGCTCGGCGGATATCCTGGTGTCTTGGGCAGATGGAGAGATGGAGGCGTATACTGTAGCTGGTTTCTGATACCTGATACGGTTCCATCCCGGTTCTAGCGAGTTGGGCCCCCCAAACTGTGTGAAACCTCTTCATGTTGGATATCACGCCGATTTTTTTCGACACCCAACCCTGCTCGGTGTCCGACCCGGAGGGACGGCAAGTCGTGCGACCGAGGTGAGGAAGTGGAATGAGACGCCCGAAGTGACACGTCGTGCTCGGACCGTGCCTTAGAGCCTCAAGAAGGGCCCAACGGAGAGCAAGCGAACGGAGCGTGCGGCCTGCGGTTGGGAGGGACGCTCCTGGTAACAGGTCGTGACATGGTAACAAGAAGCTGACAGGCATTACTAGTAGCAGATCCCCTGGGGTCTGTCAATTCTCAGGTCCATACCAGGTGGACCAGTGTTTCTGGTTCCTTCTTTCAGATTTGCCTCCGAAAAATGACTCCCCCACAAGCTTTTACGAGTCAAGCGTCCACCATGCGTCCACGGACTCCCGAGGTTCATTTCGTCGTGACCTCACCTCTCCAAAGGATAAAACTTCTTTCAGCCAGGAGTCACGTTCGACGGGGGTGCCGAGCTTGGAGGATAGGGGGTGCCCAGCTACACCTCCACTGAACTTCTTGAGGGACTTAAACACCACCCAACTCCATGTGATCTCCTGGAGTCTCATTCCTTGGCGAAAAGGTCCCAAAGCCCTTTCGTCCACTTCTTGGGGACCAAATACCGCGGGCGCAGGTGTCTCATGTGTTCGGGCATCGGGGGGTGCAAGGGGGTTCTTCATGTCAGGAAACGGGGCAATCCGGCTCCACGAGCTCGAGGAGATCTGAAGTCTTCTGGGCCTTATACATGGACCGCGATCATGTGAGAGAACGGAAGCAGAAGAAGAGACACACCCAGGGGCGCATCTCGGGCCGAGCCTCGCGCCTGTCCAAGGGCTCAGGACCCACGTCCAGTGAGTTTGAGAAGGAAAAGGAGCGGCAAGAGGAGCCTGAAGAATTGCAGGACTCCTGTTTCTCTATGTCCTTTGCTAGTTCCATTATAGATGACCCAGAGGATCACGACCCACCTGCCAAGCATGGTTGAGGCAAAGATCTGAATCGGCCATCGTTTCACCGGTGGAAAGCCTCCACCCTCCTGTGACCCTCTGCAGAACTGCGACGAACGCGTTGAACGAAAACGAGCGCCGCGCAACCCGCCGCGCAACCATATGTCACCGAAAGATCTGATGGTCGTCCTACACGACGATGCGCAGCATTTTACGACATGATTTGAGTCAACGAGAACATCACAGGATTCGAAACGAGAGCACTAAGTCGGTCACGTCCTAGAGCGTCGAGCATCCAAATAACAGGAACACGAAGTCAGAGACATCACCGGACACGCCACCCCATGTGCTTCACTGGATGGCTGTGGCGCGTTTGAGGCGCCTGAGCTGCGATGAATCTCCATCCCCAAGAGCAGTCAAAGCGAGAAGAGGATGGAAGAGGAAACAGAGAGTGAGGTGGAGAGGACCAGTTGGTTCTTTTTTTGGGGGGGTCTTGTGAAACGTGTTTTGAAGGTTGACCAATTTGTTTGAGCATATATCGACCAAAGATGATTGAAGCTGGAGCAAAGCCCACCGGTAACGGCCTAAATTATGGAACCCAGCCTTGTGATGTTGTGACAGGTGGCTGCTGCTTGAGCTTTGTGCCGGTTTTGCACTAGAAGGAGGTGCCCAGGCTTTGTGAAGAACCAAGTTAAACAGCAGTTAGACTCTTGATTTAAACAAACACACATGCATGAAGAGGATTAATCACGAAAGCTAGCATCAGCTAGCTGGAGTTGCTCTTGCTTTAGCAAGTGAAGGGCTCGCAGCCTCGAGAATCATGAATCACGTGAAAACTTCACGTGTAGGGGGGCCCCCCCCCCCCCCCTCCCGCGGGTTCAACTCCCCCCTGGGACGCTTCCGGTACGTGCTATAGTGCTATGTTTAGGTGGCAGGTGAAGTAGGCCACTGTTTGAGTTTGGAAGGCGGGGGCATGAAACATGAAATTTACGCGAGGGTTCAAGGCTTCAATGATGAGCATCACGGGAAGTCAGAAACCAGGCGTATCAGATACACGTGCCTTTGAGCTTCCTTCGGCATCTCAGTGCATATGGCTGACACTTCACTCGACAAAGATGCTCATACAAACATACATAAACCAGGTGTATCTGATACGCCTGGTTTGTGACTTCCCGTGATGCTCATGATGCTGCGTTGCTTTTCTTCAGTCCCTCATTACATATACATGACGATCCAACAGCAGATTCAACAAGCTCACATGTTCATGACATCGACATCGATAGAAGAAACCAAACAAATCATACAAGCAGCTTTGTTTTGCCTCTGGGACACCTCTTGGGCACCTCTTATGGCATCCACACTGGTTCAACTCCTCCGTGGAGGTTTTGGGATACGGATGGATACGGTGCAACAGGTTCAACAAGCTCACAGGTTCATGAACACATCGGATGCATCGAACAGTGTGGCAAAGTCCAGCCACGCTTCCTTAATTATCGGGGACTTCAATTCTAAGGTTGGCTGTGTCATTGCTGTTTGTGTGTCTTACATGTTCACAACGTTTTACCTCATGAGCACTTGCCTCACTCCGCTTGATGTCCCACCAGTCCGGATGCACCCCTGCTAGCTTTCGTCACCTACCCTCGGCCTCAAGTCATAAAAGCAGGGGGCTTATTGATCAAGAGTCTACATTCATTTCGTTCAACCAAGACTCTTTTGTCTTCAGTCTTCAGCTTCGGTCACCTCAGCGAAGAAAAATTCCGTGCGCGCAGTGGGCGTGCACCCAGGGCGTCTAAAGCCCAGCACGGTCCAATATGTGGAAAAGCTGCTGGGCACATCAAGGGCGATGTCCGCACCAGACTCAGTCACTGTTGGTCATGAGTCATGTTCCTGCTGGTCGCATGGGTGGCACGGCTAACATGAGTTCGAATCGTCATAAGGGTCGGCCGCCCTTCACTGCCACTGCCAGCCACATGGATCATTTGGCTCGTGAATCAGAGCTTTGCTTGTTGAGGAAAAGATCGGAGCTTCGCTTATTCATGGCGAGGAGGTTCAAGAAGCTCGACCAGTTTTGATATCGTCTTCATGTACAGAAACATGGATGGTGCAGTTGACTTGGGTGAGTGGAAGAAGCATGGCTGAGGTCATCGAATCTCACTCGATGCTTCTTCACTCGCCGCCTAAGAAGAAGACTTGGGCGCTCTACAACCCTTCTTTGCTGCAAGTTCGCCTTTTGGCAGACTGTGCATGGGATATATATATATGCCATTTTTTGTACTTCCCTTGGGTGAAACACCCAAGGCTTCTTGGCATGTCGTCCAAGGCTGGCAGAGACAAGACGTCTTCCTGGTGACCTACCGGTCCGGGAGCCTAGAGACTTCCGGGTCGGCTCCGCAAGCCGAACTCGTGCGATGGAAGCGGCCGAAGGTCGTTCCGAAGGGGCCCTGAACTGGGCGACGGAAGCTGAAGCGAGGTAGCCAGTGACCTGAACCTACGGACCCGTCACCAGGGGTACCGAGCTAGGAGAGTCTAGTTCCGGTTCTTCAACCTCTGCTGGAAATGAACCCACCCTAACCAATCTTTAGGCTCGGACTTTGCATGGGGGTCTGGGCCCGAACCCTATGTGTACCGGGCCCGGATTCGAGCTGATGGAAACTCCTCTACCCACCAAAAAATGGCCACCCCTGCGGAGACGGCGGCGGAACCGACCTCTTTTCATTGGACCTTCGGGGTGGAACTGGTCGTTGTTGACGCCCATGGTCACCGGCCATGGGCGGGAGACCTCGAAGTGGGAGACCTCCATTTCGGAGATCTGAGCGCCAAAACATGCCAAAACATTCGCTAAAATATAGGTCGCTTTATAGTAAGTAGGTTTAGGTCTATTTTTTTCAATTGGATGTTTCCGATGAAGGACTCTCAGATGAGAAACGAAACGAAGTGGACACATGGGAAACATCTGCCATCGGCTGATCAGGGCGGGCACCTGGCAGCTGTGTCGCTGGGATGGTCGCCATTCACCGCTGCAAAGTCTGCCCTACGTTGATGGGCGGAACCAGGCACCGCATCACGGGGGCGGAGGCGGAGCGTAGAGGGGGGCAGGGTACAGAAATGAAAGGTGCAAAACGAGGTGGAAGGCACCTTAGTAAGGTGGGAAGAACCCTAAAAAGGCCCCTTTTGTGGCCCTATATATCTATCAAAGAGTCACTCCAGTTCACCTCTCTTGGATCGCGAATTGCGGTCTGGTCACGAAAGAAATGCTTCAAAGGTTCGGTCTGCGCGTGGGAACTGCGTATCATACACGACACCCGAACTCGGTTCCCGTTCGAAATCAGAGACATGGTGGCCCTCTTAGCGAACGTGGGCCCAAATGCGGATGCCTGGCATGGCTGCGAGCATTCAATTGAGTCATATAGAGGCTAGAGAGAGTCAGCTCTTCGGAATTTGCACGACATGTTGATCTGACATTCAGTTGCCGTATGGCATTGCAAGTATTACGGACCTGAACTCGCAAAAAAGAATATGTGATTGACCATTGTTGGGGTCAAAGAATGGCTCAGAGAATGGCAGGGGAGGAGAGACTCCGGCGATCAATCTTCCAACAGTGCTGGCGCTTTTCTTTCATCCAGATCTTTCGTTTCTGCTGGGATTTGTAGGATGACTCGAAGTCAACTGCCCAATTCGGCTGCGAAGCAGTTGGATTCGGTGACTCTATGTAGGTTGGATGATGTTGGATGCTGGGAATACCATGTGGCAGTGGCAAGCCCGGCATGTGGCATTCATCAACTCATCTCAACTCGGTGTGCTTTCTCTGATGCTTCGGACGTCAACAACACCTGCAGGCGACCAGCAAAGTAATGGTGGCCGGGGGCCTCAAGGCCAAACGGTGGAGGTAGCAGTGTCCCATGTCCCCGCCCCCAGCCATTTGGGGAGCAGACTAGATCGAGGAGATAGAGAAAATGAAGCGGCTCAAGGTCGAAAGAACTGTGTTGTGTGGTTCTTCTCGTCGACCTATTTCTGACCGCCCCAAAACCTGTGTTGGAAGCGGGTCGCAGTATATTTGGGTCGGCCCAGCCATTGTTGAGGGACACTCCAACCTATTCTTGTGCTGGACCATGCTAGACCCCTTTTGCTTTTTCTTTAGGATCCAGACTGATGATTTGCATGGGTTTTTCTCTTCATTTCTAAGGCCTTTGGACTCTAGACTTGCTTCTTTTGGATGCATTTCCTTCCAACAAGTTCCCTGGGCGGAATGACACAGACGCAGCACCGTGCCCACGGAGTGACGTGTTGACTGAAGCGTTGTTCCTCCAGGCCCTGGTGCGTGAAGACTTCTCCACCATTGTCCCAGTGTGACTAGCTGCAAGAGAAGTGGAAGAAAACCAGCACGGTGCGCACCAGGAGTCACAGGACGGGCCCCCCGAGCTTGGAGGATAGGGGTCCCCAGCTACTCCACTCACTTAGGGACTCAAAACCACCCAACTCCATGTGACTCCTGGCAGAAAGTTCTGGCAGTTGCGGCCTGGAAAGCAGGTGAAAGGCCCGAGGAATCGGCGGTTATGCGGCCGTGCAGCGTTCGAGAACGAAGCAGAGGCATGCACTGGTGGACCAGAAGTACATGGAGCATTCTTGCTCCCATTCCACAGGCGTGGCACATAGCCTGTCCGTGGCATGTCCATGGGTGGTGATTTCGACTACGTGAGTTTCATTTGCGGCATCGCCTAGCACGCGTGAGGCATGCGTCGTGTGGGCATTGATGACAGTCGTCTCTTCCAATTGGCTGGACAGCCCTATGCGCTCTTCGCGGGTGTGGCTCCAGTGGGTCAGGCGCAACTCCCGTGGGTCGAGAGAGTTCACTCCATCCTTTGGGCTACACTCGGAGCTTCTTAGAAGGTGGGACTGGGGTGGGTGCCAGGAGGGTCCAAATACCTTCTAAGGAGGTACGACTGGAGCTCTAGGGCATAATATCACCAATCAACAGGCCATGTTGAAAGGAGCCTTGGGCCTTCGCACGTGGCTTTTTGTTACCTTATAGTCTATACCAGCAGACTTCGTTCGTTCCTGCCAATTGGCAGCGCTTGGTGTGTCCATCAACCACCCCTTTGAAATCCAAACGACGCCCCGGCCTTTGGATCTGGTTATGTCTTTCACTTGGATTTCACCCTTCAGGACCCATTCAGGACTTCGGAGCTTTCCCTTGAAACTGCTTTCTTAGGTCACTTTCAGCCCGCTCCTTCCTCCAAACGGGGCCCTCCCCCCGCGCCAACCCCCCGCATCAGCTCGCATCCCAGCCTCTCAGTGTTCACCTCCGCGTCGCTCTCCTCCTCGTCCAACCAGGAGAGCCCGTGCCAGCACCGACAATACCTCTGTCCGCTGCAGCTTCCGGACGAGGAGGGTCCGCCTCAGGACGGCGGGTCCGTCGGACGTTTTGAATTCCGGGAGACCGATGGAACGAAGACATACCCTATCATACCCTACACCTCCAGTCGTACCTCCTCAGAAGGGATTTGGACCCTCCTGGCACCCACCCCAGTCCCACCTTCTCAGAAGGTACTTGGAGGCCTAGGGATAGTAAGACCTGCTACCCGGGCGGCATCGGAGCAGAAACGGCCACAGAAACGCAACCAACGAAGTTAGGAGATCGTTGGGAGCTCTTGAAAATGGGCAGTGATGTTTTGGGGCCGAGTTGTTTTGGGGGCGTACCGCGGCCTGCAGACATGGCACCGGATCTAGCCGCTCTAGGCACACAGGGGTGGCGTTTTTGAATTGAGAAGTATATGAATCCAGGTCAGATGAGAAGAGCGTCTCGTCCGGGTCCGACGAATGCCTTGGACCGCGTTTTCGGTCCGACGCTCTCCCCGCAGGTCCGTTGTCGGCGGAAGATCCTGCTGACCTTCGTGCCCTGGCCGTGCGCTCCGTGCCGAACATGGCGCTGCTACGCCCACGCGCGCCGTGTCGTTGGAAGGTGTGGAAGTCATGACTAAGGACTATGCAGATCAGCTATCACAGAGGATGATGGCACAAGATCGTTTAGGACAGACATGGAGATCGACATTGGATCCAGCATCACGTAGGATGAATCATTAGAGACAGCAAATATCAGCAAATAGAAGAGATGTTCATCACAGGAAATGTGTGTTCATGATGAGAGGATATGATTTATTTCGGACCTCCATCCTTTTGCGAGGAAGTGTTCATCAGAAGAACTGGATGCCCTTCGTTGCAAATGATGAGCTCTACTTGATCTTTACCATTGAAGCTCGTACGGTTGCAAGCTGTGGGGGGCACATGGTGCACCTGGGGGCCCACAGAAGTAGCTGGGGGCGATGGACCCCATGCCATCCAACAGGTGGAACGGGGGAACAGCTTCAGATGGCCGCAGATGGCCCTTCGCCACGCCAGACAGGAATTCCATGAGCATGGGAACAGAATCAATCAGCTGGACATCCCTTAAAACGAAACGACACCCATGTCCCCCTCAGGCCCAAGAGATCCTAACAGACATAGCAGCTTTGCGGTATTTTGGTCGGTGAAGCTGTTTTAAGACCAGCGACTCCAAGGCAACCTCCTAGTGGAGACATGAGTTCTTTTGTGGCACAAGCAGCAAGCACGGTTTCTGAGAACATGCTTGGACGTCGGAAGTCATAATCATTGCTTGATGTTGGCTTAGTTGGCTTAGTCAGTCCTTGCGAGCTGGTTTGATCGGTCACAGACGCGCAGAGGGCATCCGCATGTGACAGGCTGCATGCCCACCCACATCGGGACAAAAACTCTCCATTTCCTTAAAGTGGCCATCTGGCAGCTCATTCACCTGCAGCTCTTGGCTTTCATTGACAACCTTATGAATTTGCACATGTTGGCGCCAATGGAGATCCCGGACTTCCATTGGCGACCCCTTTTGAAGGTGCTGGCTATGGTTTCTTTTCCTTCTGCAACCCCTGCTGATCCCAGCCCAGTCTTTGGTGGTATGCATGCAGTCTCGCAGGGTTGCTCATGCTGGGGGTTCCCGCATAGGGGCACATATACAAATACGTTTAGTATCTTTTAATTAGTAATAATGATAGATAACACCCGCTCTCTAGTAATATAGATGGTCTTAGTGTTTTTTGTTGAATAATTTTTTTTCCCTCGCTTCGACTCTTTGTGTATAGGATGGACAACTATCAAGACAACATTGTGCCACACACAGATGTTTGCAAAAATGAAGCATGCAAAACATGTGAGTTTCAGAACACGTGACCAAACTTGGGTTTCCAGGGCCAGGGCGTTCTTTTCTGTTGAACAGCGCAACATAAAGATCCCTTTTCTTCTCTGCTTCTGAAGGTTTCAACTCCTGATGGAAGAATTCCATCGAATGACAAATGAGTCCTGTTGCCACTCTGCCACAATGCTGCCTGAGGAACCACTGCGGGTGATTCGCGTGGACGTGAACTCAGGGCTATGCAGCGAGGTGAGTCTTGTTGCTCGGCAAGAAGGGTACGGGGGGATCCAAGGAGTCGGAGCCGTTCCAGGTCCGTCCATCCGGAGGAAGACGCGTTTGGCGAGGCAAAGTGTAGAATCTTTGGCGAATCCAGAGTTTGGGGGGCAAGAGATGTGCTGTAAACTTTGGTTCTGTCCATGGACATGTCCTATTACCTGTAACAGTGGGTAAACCAGAAACAACAATGAAAAACGCACATCCTTTTAGAGATGTCGGCCTTTCCTATATGTTAACTCACTGTTGGTGGTAATACGATAGACCCAATGTATACTGCATGCTTATTCATTGATTTCTTTAACTTTAAGACTATAGTCTTCATCCATCTTCATGCATCTTCATCCCTTCGCCGTTCGTTTGTTGGAACAGCCCCCGAAAACGCGCTCGTTGTCCGCGCGGATTTTCGCGGGTTCAACGGCGGCCTCTCTGAGGTCCGGACGCCCGCCTTGAGAGCGTTGCATCCAAATCCGGATGAATTTCGAGGGTGGGAGACCGCGTGCGACCGGATTTGACCGGATTCCATTCGATTCGAAGCGCTTCACTAGCGGGCCGAAACACAGGCCCGCGGCCCGCTGCGAAGGCTCTAAATGTCAGTTGAGGAACGTGGAAGATCTTGGAAGGCAAACATGAAGAAGATGCAATTTTTGATTGAAAAGTCATCGAGACAAACAGCTATATGAGCTGTTCGTCTTCAGATCGTCGAAGACTTCGCTTCCAGGCATGGAGGGCCTGCCTTGGTGCAGCTGCCAAAGCACATGGGCGGAGAGCTTCTGGGCATGGCCCGAGCTCCTCGGATTGAAAAACACACCGCAACGTGAGCAAGATTCTGGGCTGAACATACGCAAGAACCAAAAAAACGCCGCTCTGCACGATTCCATGAAGAGCTGTTTCACCGAACAGCTGGCTGAACAACTTCGAAGCGGTGGCGGAATGACAGCGAAGCAAGCGACCGCTTTGGGACGATCGGATGAGTGTGTTCGGGCCTCTCTCAGAGTACGTGATGCAACGATGAGTGGTTGCATCACGTCGAAGCATTCGCACAACGACGGCCGCTGTCTGCCGCTGACTCGCTTGCTCAGGTTCAATCGGGGAATTTGCTGTACAGCCACTTCTTCTTCACCCTGCAAGTGGAATATCCCTCCATGCCAGTGCTCACGAAGGTGAGGTCTGCTCGATGGCGACTCGCGCCCTCTTTCACCATGGCATGTTGGGGTGATTCTCGTCGTCCGATTGGTTTTGCACATTGCTGAGGTCAGTCGACTCTTGTGCTTTGCTTCAGTGAGGCGCTCCTTTGATTGTTAGCTCTGCAAGAGAAGGAGGAAGACATCAAAAGGATCTCAGTTGGTCCAAAGAAGAAATTGACTGAAGAAAAACAACTATGCAGCGATCAAACCTGGAATTGGTTTACGCGGTTGGGGGGATATGGGCTTGGAGTGACCAGACGGAAGGGTCTGAAGGGTGGCCGTTTGGCAGGCCAGGCATGTGCGAGGTCATCCAATTCGTGGGTGGCCTTCATCTTCAGCAAGATCAACTGGTACCGCCCACAGTTTCCGTCACGTCACACAAATAGAAAGACGTCCGTTCCGTCACGTGCCTTGAACGGCGCACGAGGTCATCAGCTACGGCGTGAACGATTGTGAAGCTTGGTCTGTTGCAGCGAAGGCGACTGGCGGTGCGCCAGGGCGTGCTTCCTTCGCTCGTGGAACACGCATGGCGTTGATCTGTTTTTGATTTGCTTCGCTGAGGAACCCAAAGTGACAACGATGGCTCTGAACAAAGTTTTCGAGCTGTTGAGAAGTCAGAAGCGAGAAGAGCTGTAGCAAAAAGACTTCGCAGAGACATGCACGGCAGCCTGGTTGATTGCAGGAAAAGGCGAGAACATAGCTTTGCAAGCAGATGCAAGTAGGATTTGCATGGGTTGCTGCCCAGATCAGCAATTCAGCCCTGTAGGGAATATTGGATCACATGGCTTTCACTTTTTTGATTTGATAGGCCAGTCTTGGCATTGGCAAGGACGCTCGCATCGTCTCCAAAAGGCCGGGTGTGTGCTTGTGTCAGCTTGTCGCCAGCCACACATTCTTTGACCCAAGCCAGAAACCGGACCCTTACAGTTTCCGTCTCAAAAAACACATTATAATATAGACATGTGTGATATGATATGTTTTAGTTTTTTTTTTTTTTGGTGTGTGTGTGTGCGCGCGCGTATATATTTCACCTCTTTTGTTTCCAGGTTTGAACACCGCAAGATGTTGTCTTTACATTGCCTGGATCGCCGTGGCCTTCTACGCATGTGAATGTCTCGAGAAATGATGTGAGCTTTGCAGACGGTGAGGGGCGGGCCGGCAGATCACACAGACCATGCCCAACCAACAAAGCGCAGTTTTGGTGAGACGACAGGTTCTTTCAAGCAGGTTCTTTCACACTGCTTAGTTTGCTTTCTCCTTGCCCATTGTATTGAGGCTGTTTGCGGAGAGGTTTGCAGACGTGCAACATGATGCATTTGTTTTTCTCGACGTAAATGGTAACTTCAGGGTACAATGAATGTATATTGGATTACTTACTGGAAAAGGTGCCTGACGCTGTTAGCCCTGTAAGCCTTTCTGCAGGGTGCCTGCATGTTCGGTTTTTCAGTGGCTGGTGGGACCCAATCCCCCACAAACCTATCCGTTTGTCACGGCCACAACTGCTCCGTAGGGAAGCACGGCCAGTGCCAGGCAGCTTGGTGGCGTGAAGTCCAAAGCCGGAAGAAGCTCCAGAAGGACGTCGAGCGTTCCGTTCATCAACGAACGTCCGTCGAACGACGCGTTCAGCCCCTGTTGGTTCCAAGCGCTGCAGCATCTGGACGATGAAGGAATCGAATGGACCCTGCAAAAAGCATCTGTGACACAGCTTCTTCGGGTCTTGATTGCAGGAAAGGAGCTTCGGGCCCGAAGAACAAACACCCCTCTGTTCCGAGCCGCTCGGGACCACCCCATCGATAGGCAGACCGAAATGGTGTGGAATATTGGGCCATGCGGATCGGCTTTCATTTGGGCTGGGAGCTGTGCAGAGCTATGAGGTCAACATGGGCAGGAAGTGAACCTCTCAGCAGAATGAGAGGACCAACGTGCCACATCGGAACAACCATTCATTTCGGACGGTTGGGGGCTCCAGGCGGGAGAGAGATAGCGACCTCCTTTTTACTTATTCCTTTTACTTATTCCTTACCTTCACCTGAGAAGTCCCAAGTGCAGCAGCTGGATCAGGTGTTCCTTTTGGGTAGGACAGATTTCAAGGCCTTTTTCGAGTGGCCATCCACGTTGCCGTTTCTTTTGGGAGTGGTCGACCAGTTACTGCCTGGAAGGCAGTCGAAGGTGGGCACAGATTCGTTCAGGTGTTTGATGTCCACTGTGAGCTTGGGGGCACAGAAAAAGCGAGCATGGTAAACAGGATTGCACTCATTTACACCATGGAAGTGGAAACTCACCATGTTTGGTCTTCCATGGTCATCCAGGCCTTCTTTCTGTTTGGTACAATGTTTTTTTGCGGGCAGTTAGAATCTGGACCCTCCGAAGTACTCTAGAA